CAATTTCTTTCTTGTCACCCATGCATTGAATATTGTTGTCACATCTGGACACGTGCTTGTTTTTTTTTTCTGTCTGTTTTTGTATTTTAAGCTGGTGAGAAATTTATCAGTTGGAAATTTGCAACAATCTAATCTACCAAGATGACCTAAGATATGTGGCTGCATGATAAATCCCTCTGTAATCTGAGTCAGTCGATTCCTGACCCAGAAAAAAGCTGTCTTTGGTACAATCGTAATCGAATGACAACCTAGAATTACCCCGACGTAACCCAAAAACAGTTTCATACATATGGTTAACTCTATGTAAGCCGTCTCCTTGGGGGAATAAGTATATTTTTTTTAAATCTGTCGCTAGGCTTTAACTTCAGTATTAAACAAACCAGACATTGTTTTCTGGGTATACTAAGCACAAAAATAAATGGGGGTACAATGTTCGTCTCCCCGAGTCAAGCAGGTGGTAAGTAACGCCCGTAGGATGAAAAATAGGACCTATCAAAAGGCGAAAGAAATCTTGATCTGTCAATGTTCAACTAACTAATGATGGTGTCTCAATAAAATCACAATGAAGGAGGCAACGGGAATCCACTTTATTAACAATCCCAGAATCAGACTGACATAGATAGATAGATAGATAGATAGATAGATAGATAGATAGATATGAACAAACTTAGATAGATTGAAACAGAGATAGATAAAAACATAATTAGTAGATACATAAATAGATTTGAACAGTTTCAGATACATAGATAAATTTCAACATAGGGATATTTAAATAGAATAGATAGAATCATGGATAGATAGATTTGAATGAACAATTATAGATAGATAGATAGATAGATAGATAGATAGATATGAAAAAACTATGAAAGTTAGATTTGAACAAAGATAGACAGGCGGTCAGATAGATAGATAGATAGATAATGTGTGCATTCCAAATACGCAGGCTTGAAAAGTTCTCGGCTCTGTTAAAATTTCTGACATTCTAATTAAATAATGAACATTTATCAGATTTTTTAAGAGCTTCTTTTTTTGGCATCTCCTGTATTTTGCTTGCTTACTTGTATGTGTGCATTCGTGCGCCTGTGTGCTCTCACGTGTTTGTGTATATGTGTGTGTGTGTTTCTTCTTTTTTTTTTTTTTTTTCAACACTTTATCAGTTCTGTTCACCTATTTTCAAATTTAAGGTCACAGCCAAACATTCGGACCCATTGTTGAAGCATTTTCAGATTTCTTTTCTTGTCTTGCTAAAGTTATGGCCTTCTACAATGCGATTGTTGTTGGTGCTGGAGTCGAGGGTTCGGCTACTGCTTACTACTTGGCAAAAAACGGGCAGAAAACGTTGCTTTTGGAGCAAGTAAGTACAAAAATATTGTTCTTTATTTAAATTTAAAATTATATTTATGAAGATACCACATTGATTGGCTTAAAAAATTAGTACACCATGATAAAAAAAAAGAAAATGTCGCTAAGTTAATAAAAACAAAGTTTTATCATCAAAATCTTTATGACCAAAGGATTTTTTGACTATTAAATTATATTTTTCATCCTTTTATGATCGATCGACATTTTGATTAATTTTTTTTATTTCTTTTTTTTTTATTTTATTTATTTATTATTATTTTTTTTACGTCAGCTGGCTGGTGAGTACAAAAGATTAAAATAGAAAATATTAGCTTTTTTTGCGGCGAAAAACATTGATTTGGAAATTCTTACATAAATTAAATAATTGTTGGATTTTAATGAAACTTTCTGGACTTATTCACAAATGAATGAAATTAATTTACAATTTGATTTTAGAAAATCTTGGTAAACATATTTTTTTTTTACATCTCTTACTCCACACATACATATTTTTATGAAATTTCGAGAAATTAAATTTTGATTCGCTTAATATTTAGATAAGTTAAAAGCAGAAATCTTTGGAAAATTTAAATCATCCATCTCTTTTCCTAAATCACGACCCTAGTTACCAAAAATCAGCTCTGAATTATAAAATAAAAAACGCAATAAAACTCAGATTATTTAATTAGAAAAGCTTTTAATTTCTTTTATAAATAAAATATAAGGACATTATTGGCATAAGAAGTTTCTTTTTTCCAATGAATATTTACAAATATATTAAAAACAATTTTTATAATTTTTTTAAAATATGGATGTCCATACACGACATTATCTGAAGATATGAGTGATAACTCTATTAAATTTCAACCCAAAGAATCTAAAATACAATAAAATATTAGATTTAGAAGAATATTTTTCTAATTTTATAAGATTACGCGGTAGTTAAAAATCATATAAAAAGGCGCTCACGTTTTATTCCTTAATTAAATTTTACAGATATGTCCACCGTAGAGAAAAATAGATTCCGTTTGTCAGTCAACCTGTCAACACTTAAAATAAACAGCCACCACCATGTTAAAAATGCATTTCTGCAATATTTTAAACTTAAAGTAATATTTGTTTCAAATCATATTAATTAAACTTTAAATAAGCTCAAATAAAATTTTAGAAAATATGTTTCATTATGAAAGTTTTTTTTAATACAAAGAATTACATTATGATGAAAGATTACTAAAAATGGCACCCAAATCAGTGATTTTAGCAATTTCCAAATGAGAACATTTTTCAGGCAATTTAAATTAGATTTGAAATACAGCAAAGTGTTTTGCTTATTGGAAATATTTAAATTTAATCTATTAGCTTTAAGTTAAAAGTAAAATAAAAACTTGACAAAAGATTTTTCATTTTTAAAAAAAACATTTTAAATCTTCGGTATCTCGTTTCTGTGGTAGTACTTAATTTTTATGTTTACATTTAAAATGAATAAAGGGTGTTAATCTAATGTTAATTTACGAATCTGTTTCGAGATTATTAGAGAGGGAATTTGATGCTCATTAAGTGATCATACCTACGAAATTCCCTTTAAAACATGATGATGTTATTTACGTATATGTCAACCTTTTGATCAGAGTATCTGAGCTTTGACTAGAATCAAAGCCCCGTCCGTGGACCCTGTCTCACAATCTATCTATCTATCTATCTATCTATCTATCTATCTATCTATCTATCTATCTATCTATCTATCCTACTGATCGTCAATATCTATCTATAAATCCATATATATATATATATATATATATATATATATATATATATATATATATATATATATAAAGAAAAATATGCTCTTAAGATGTGCTAGATTTATGGGATAAAGTGCTCAATATCAGAGATAGAGCGTGTGTAAATATTAAAGTGCACATTGAAGTCAACACCTAGAAGCGACAGACTGTTTCATGCTAGACGCAATCGTCAGGCCTGACGGTTGCATCTAACATGAAACACCCTGTCGCCTCTAAGTGTTGACTTCAATGTTCATTTATATATATATATATATATATATATATATATATATATATATATATATATATATATATATATGGTTAAACCTAGAGAGCCAGACAAACCTATCATGGTTTCACCTAACCGGATCATTTTCTGTATAATGCCAAACGCAAAGCCTACAAAATCCATAGAAGAAAATAGAAAAATCCACTCTGAATAATAATACTAACAACCCTGACAAAATTTGGCCCTTAATTTTATCTACCATCTCCAAAGTTATAACGTTCTCGCTCACTTTCGTTATGTATAGCAGTACTTGGAAGGAAAGTGTGTAGAGTGTGGTTGTCTCACCACACCACAGAGGTCCCATCAGTAACTATGACTTCTGCAGTATTTTCCAGGTCACCATTTATCCAGATTTCCCCACCTTGCGAAGTTTTACTATTCAAAAGGAACAATATTTCAAGACATCAGGGAAATCCAAGTGAATGCGATAAGGTAGCTGCTTGTTATCCGAAAAAAAAGGAGTCCCAGAAATGCCTCCATCAATTTAAACGACGCTGGACAAAGTATGTGGTTTCAGAAGCGTACTACTTCGACGGAAATTAAATGCCGGATTGATATGTGTTGAAGTTTTCTTTTTATAGCACCAGTCACGACTCTTATTTTTATTAGACGTCGTATATGTGGTTGAAAAGATTTATATAGAGATATTAACTTTGAAATTCACTTAAAATGGCTATTAGCTTTTTTCTGACCTAAAATATCGAGAAAGGATTTCGTGCAAATGGTGTCTCTCAGGTGACAACTCTCTTAAAAAATCACTGAGTCACTCTCTGACCATAAATAGTGACAAACACAAAACATTAACCTGAAAACTTTCTTAAACAGCCTCGACTGCTCGTGACTTTTATGGGATGTCATCCATGGCGTTGAGAAATAAGATCAATGATTAAAAATGGCTTTGAGCCCAGTGAAGCTTATTGGTCTTGGCAAATATTATACTTCTTCAGAACATGTACTGGCGCTACAGAATCACAAAGAACTGTACCAAATAACAAAAAGTACATCACTTGAGGACTACCAACAGCAGCAACAATGGCTATCAAATGTAAAAAAGAGAAAATAATGACATAATCAAGATGTTGATATTCCACGATACTTGAAACAAAAGATTAGGAAGGAAACTCCAATCAATACTGGAAAGAGCGATAACAGCTACTGGGCTGGAGAAATTTGTTTTCCTGAAAAATTGTTTTAAGATTTTATACATTTCAACCGACACTAGTATAGAATGGCGATTAATAAATGCTGAATGTTTCCTTATGAGGAAACGGTTAATTTTGCCTGTATTATAACCTACAGCTGAAATATGCATGACCATAAATAACAAAACCTGAAATCACCTACAATGGCAAAAAGCTATGGTTAAAACACCGTCAAATGACGGGCAACTCTTTCGTCTTGTATAAAAAGTTAGCCAATAAAAATACTATTTATATTTTTTATTTATTTCTTCTAGTTTTCCCTTCCACAGGACGAAAAGTCACTGGGTCAAAATGATTCATATGGCCAGAACAAGGATCATCTGTTCACGTAAAAGTTGAATATCACGTGACTGTTAGTTCGTTTTTGTTTTGTTTTACGTCAAAATGATGCTGGAGGCATATCCGCGGTGGTCAGAATTGGAAGCAGAAACAAACACTAATCTGTTCACGTAGGTGTCAAGAGTTGAATATCAGCGTGACTGTTAGTTCGTTTTTTTGTTTTGTTTTTAGTGTGTGTGTGTGTGCGCGTGTGTACGCGTGTGTGTGTGTATGTATGTGTGCGTGTGTGTAAGCGGAAACAAACACCAATCTGTTCACGTAAGTGTCAGGAGTTGAATATCAGCGTGACTGTCAGTTCGTTTTTTTGTTATGTTGTTTGTGTGTGCGCGTGTGTGTATGTATGTGTGTGTATGTGTGTGTGTGTGTGTGTGTGTGTGTGTTTATTGTGTTTTGTTTTTTCGTAATTGAAATGAATCAGACTTTTGGTTATAATTTCTCAAAATGGAAATAGATATTGTATTTATATCTAAAGTAATTCCCGATGGTGGGGGGCACGGTGTAGTAATGGATAGCGGCTCGGATTGATGAATCGGAGAGCCAAGTTCGAATTCCAGTCAAATCCATTACATTCACTTACTTGGGAAAGATATGAATCCTCCTCCCAGCTATGGGTTCTATAGCCTTTGATGGCAACTGGTCTACCGCAGAAAGAAATGGCAAAACAGTGCGGGGAAAAATATGCCTCGTCAGTCATGTATCGAAAGCGTGTATTACGTATGACACATAACTGACTGACTGAATTCCCGACCCGAGAAACGGCACCTTTAGCGTCGTAGTGTACTAATACGACTGGTTTATTATATATGTATGTACCGGCATTTCTTCCTTCGATCGAGATGCACACTCTCTGGTCAAAGCGTAGTATCTGATACAATTCCGCTGTTGTGCTTCCATACTACAGTGTAAGACGCATCTCTTCGAGTAGTATGCGGGTTAGCAGTTAAGGAAGACTGGCACAGGGATTCCAAACTCCTCCGTTGCACTAAAATGAGAAGATAAGAATATTATGACACCGACATATGATAGCTGTGGAGAGAAGCGGACAAAAATTATGTGCAGGCTGACTAACCAACCATGTGTCATATACTACAACAAAAGGCAGAAAGTCGTGGCGAGCCATGATCGCTCACGTCCTGAAATGAAATGGCATATAAAAGCTACCTCTTACCCTTTTGAGAAGTGGCAGAAAGTAAATACAGGTTCGGTGTGTAAGATCAAAGTGTAGTATCTGTTCACCCAGCCTAACAAAGTCAATTTCATCGCGCTGTTCAAGCAGAAGAATGTTCGCGTAATGGCTATGACATTTGCTTGTTTACCTTCAGTTCGGACGTTCGAATCATGTCAAAATTACTTTGTTTATTTCCTGTTTGTTTCAACGTCACAAAAATTACGAACAGTTGGAAAAAAGCAAACGAAAGATGTGATATTGTTCATTTAAAAGTGGATCATGAAAGTGGATCATTAAATTCGTAGTCTAATATAGTAATTTGTTGAAAAATAAACACTAAATACTTAATTCTCAAACAGGAGCCACTTGGCTCCCAGATGAAAAATATGAAATATAAAGGACGGAAGGAACTCTAAACAGAGAGAAAATATACTCTTTATATATGACGCACATTACGACATGCGGTGAGGGTCCAATAAACACATGCACATATATATATATATACACATATAAATATTGAGATGATCTATTGAAACCATTTACATTTTTCGGATTGTTATTCTCATCTTTATTGTCATATTAATGGCGTTTCGGTCGTTGTACGCTCCGACCTTCTTCAGGTTATATTTGTTCATATATATTATATATATATTATACATATAAAGTTTTCCATGGTTGAAATTGCCAAAAGCTTAAGTTGTTAAATCTGAAAGAAAAAGAAAAAAAATCATTAGACACTTAAACTTAATTCACATTTAAAATCGGTCCAAGTTATTGTAACACCCTTTATATATATATATATATATATATATATATATATATATATATATATATATATATATATCCATCCGAGTATAGTATTGGTCTAGAGGGAGTAAAATTCCAGTAACCAAAAACGTTATTCATAAAAGAGTGCTCAATACAGAGTAGAGCAAATATTATTTATTGAAAAATTATAACATAAACATGTTATAGCACTACAAAAACAACCATTTGGTGTTTTCTCAAGTGATAGTGTGTACATTTATACATTCAACACTATCACTTGATAAGCCAACAGAAGTGTTGAAATAAAATGGCTATTTTTGTAGTGATGTTATAACATGGTTATATTATAATTTTTTTAATAAATTATGTATATATATATATATATACTAGCAGTAGAGCCCGGCGTTGCCCGGGGATGTAACAGTAAGAGATAGAATTGACAAAGATTATTGTTTAAGGTTGATGGACACACGTCTTAATTACTTTTATTATTTTTTTTTTTTTTACGAATTGGTCAAACCTAAACTCAAACAAAAACATTGTTTTCAATTGTTATGAGTCTCTATCGATTGAATAGAATTTTATTATAAACAATTGTCTTATAAATGGAATTTTTAAAGCATTCTGAATGTAAAAATAAAGAAAAAAGTGTGCAAGCCAATAAGAAACACTACCTGCCAAAAAAAAGTGAAATTTTGTTGAAATCAGTTGAAAAATGTAGGAAATCCGATCCCATATATAAACGAACACACACACACACACACACACACACACACACACACACACAAACAACCAACCTAGGTTTTATAAGTATAATTTGATAACAATAAGTATAACTCGATATGCATTGTCCCCCTTTCATTAATGCCTCTTAATCATGTTTTCAAATTGATTTCATGCAAAAACAATTGTGTTTTTCCAATTTTGGGGGCTGTCAGAACTACTGCAAGGTAATTTTACATAGTCCTGTGAAGTTTTGTTGAAATCGGTTGAAAAATGTAGGAAATCCGATCCAATATATAAACGTACAGGCACACACACACACACACAACCTGGGTTTTATAATATATAATATATATATATATATATATATATATATATATATATATATATATATATATAATGAAATATCTTCATCCAAGAGAGATCTTGAAATAACAAAAAAAGAAGGCACTCTTTTCAATTTCAGTTCTTACAACGAAATTCAGGCTCGCATAAAAGTAACTCTTCTAACCTAATTTTTGGGTGCTGATTTCAGATACGAAATTCGTTTTCACCTATCACCTCTACTTTCTGAGATAAATCTACTTAAATGTAAACATAAACAACTATTCAATGCTGCTAGATGTGTCGTATTTAGGACACTTGCTTTTTATAAAAAATATGTTATTGTAGGAATTGTGTTCTTAAAAGAAACTTATATAATGTCCTCATTTGACAACCTGCCGTCAGCCATGGGTGTTAATTGAATGAAATCCTCTTCAGATTTGCATACTCGGTAAGCATGGACGTAACCATATAAATGATCAATGATTATTTTGTTATATAAGCTTCTGTTATCCAATACATATCTCTACAATGGCTTCAGGTACTTCAGAGGATGCGTCAACAAAGCAAATTTATTTTGTTACGTGTGCGGGGAATTCACAACAGCTGCACAGCACCGGACAATTACTCCCCTCCTGAGAACTGCTTACTTTCATTATATTGACTTTAAAATTGTATATCAGTATAATTCCTGGGCTCCACGCATCTGTCGTAAACCCCGTTTCAATGGACCAACTCCATGTTTTAGGGGCAAGAAAGCAGCCTTCAACTTTATTCTCTTGGCATTCTCGAGAGAGATGATGATTATTCTTGTCTAACAGATATAACTGGTTTCAATACTTTTTCTTCTAAAAAAAAGGACAATTATCCTAACCTTTCCTCAACTATGAGACTTATTCTTTCATCATATTAAGAATTGCCTTCAGAGGGAAATTCTGCAAAGTCTGTCTTTTAGAAGACAATGTCTGTTTATGTTGTGGAGTTATTTCGCAGTGGAGGCTTGTAATTGTCCTGTGTGCGTGTGTGTGTATTTCGGCAGCAAATTATCTTTTAAGGTACGTCTGATTGAATAAATTGTGTCTGCTTATTTTTATCATATTCCTTTCATATTCACGAATATTTTTCCGTATATTAATTAAATAAGGCAAAAAATCCACTAAATAAATTGTAATATACGGCTTTCATATTTGTGAATATGAAAGGATTATGATAAAAATAAGCAGACACAATTGTTTGTAATTTATTCAATCAGACACACACACATACGCATATATTTGTTTGTGTGTGTCTTTCTCTACATTTTTTGTAAGTGTCTGTTTAGACATGTATGTGTATGCTGCTGTGCGTCTACGTTTGTGTGTCACTATATATATGTTTATGACTATGTACAGGTTGGTCCAAAAGGTCTTGTCACCCCTACATAATATAATTTTCTATTTCAACGCTCTGTTGAGTATTATCAAGGAGAGAGTTTCACGTGAACGATACCAGAATAGCCATCAGTTGAAGGACGCCGTCCGAAGAGCCTTTGCAACCATCAACAATGGAAAGCTTCGTAAAATATGGCGCCGCATCATTTTGTGCCACGAAAAATGATGGTGATCATACAGACCTTATCGATGTATGTGGACAGCGTCACTGCAAGGGAATAAACTAAATCATGTGCTTTCTATAAGTGTATAGCTTCTTCTTCTATTGTCCTCATTATTCTTTGGTAGGGGCTGACAAAACTTTCGGGCCAACCTGTATATATGCATATGTTAGTACATTTGTATGTGTCTCCGTTTATGCGTAAGTCTCTATATATGTTCATATTTGCCTGCATCAGCGTCAGTTTATGTTTATGTATGTATGTGTGAATGTTGTCTATATTTCCTGGCTATGCTTTATATATACAAAGAAATGAAATAATGCTATTTTTTTGACCATTTCAGTCAGTGTGGAATGTTGGCCATGGGCACTGATGAGAGTCACTACATCAAGGAAATCACAAATGCCCTTCACAAATACCAAGTGCCGTATGAACGTCTCAACAGAGAACAACTTCAAAAGAAATACGCTATCAACTTGCCCCCTGATTCCTCGGGAGTGCTGGATCCAAGTGGCGGCGTTCTCAAGGCAGACAAAGCCGTACAAGCGTTTCAAGTAAGATTATTATTATTATTATTTGATATAATGGAATATGCATACACCTGTGTTCCCCCTCACTGGCTGGTGTCTGTCATAAATATCGACGGACGTGTAGGAGAGTCAGAAGAGAGCCTCAGTCTGAGAGCTAAGTCTATAACGACGCCCATTGGACCACGTCATTGATCTACACTTCTTACCTGCGACTACGACGCGTACCAGTCGATTACTGCTACCGTATTCTACTTGGTTATAGTAGCCAAAACCACTTAGCTACTTCGTTCAAATATATCCTTTTCCGGGACATATCATTGTTATTTGTGTATGTTATGTTTCCTGCTTTGTATCCTGTAGAGCCGGGTCCAAACTATGCTCCTTAGGCCCTAGAAGAGAATTGTCATTTAACTGATAGCCTTTTTCTTAGTATGTGGTACGTTCCTAGTAGGCCGGTCTTCTGCGAAACTTGTATGTTGCTTTTACCTGGGATACTATTAGTTAAATTGCCCATACGAGGCACAGAGCTCCGATTACTATTGGTACATTATTATTATTATTATTATTATTATTATTATTATTATTACAACACTTGAGAGAAGAGCGCAATTTAAGTAAAGAAAAAGTAAAGAAAAAACGATTGACAATGTTAAACAATATTTCGACATGTCTGTCTTCTTCAAATTATATTTTAAGAAATTTTCATATATAAATATATATAAATGTAGATCTCTCTTGCCTTCATTCTCTCCAGTGAGTGTCAAATTTTCTAAGCTCTCTTTCCTCATTATGTGCCCCAGAAATTCCAGTTGTCTCTTCCTGATGTTATGTATAAGTAGCCTTTTTGTTTCCAGTGTCTCTAAAACTTCGTCGTTGCCCACATGTTCGGTTCATGGTATCCTCAGCAACCTTCTGTAGAACCACATTTCTGTTGCTTCAAGTATCTTCTTCATCTTTGAGGATATTGTCCAGCATTCAATGTAGGAATGTTATTACATAGCAGTTTAGTATTCTTTTCTTTGTTTCTAAGAAAAAAAACATTTCGGATAAATCTTTTGGAGTTTCTTTGGAAACAAAGTAAAGGGATTTGGTCATGTCATTTTTGAGTACCACTTATAGTATGAAGTCATTGGGCAAAAATAAATAAGTCTCTAAAACATGAAAATTTAAACAAACAAGCATTAATAAATATATTAAACGGATATGTTACGAAACGGAAAATGAGAAGTTAAAGTTGTGGAGAGTTCAAAGCAACATTCACTGTGTGTCTTTGAGGTACTTACATCCTGACAGGACGATAAGAGAACGTTTTGTTACTGCCACAGTCAAAAAAAGAAGAGGAAAAGCCTTTCAAATCACGCACCGCCTGTAACTATCATCAGGGGGCGGTAATCCAATATAACCAAGGATGTTCGTCTAAGGTTTAATTAGTTGTTTTGAATTTGCAGTACAACTAATACCAAGAAAGAAGTGTACTCATATGAATGTGAGGGGTGACGTTAGCAATGTGGACTGGGAACCAATGGAGGGGGCGTCCCAAAAAATTTGACTGTACTGACATCGCTTGAACATTTATTTTTATTTTAATAATTATTTATTTGATTTTTTTCCTTCTCAATATGAGTAGATAGGTTCACCTATCGCCCGGTTCATACTCTCCCTGGTCTGTTAAACAGGTATAGTGGTTTATCTCAGGATTGGGTTCTCTGTTCCTTCTAAAGTAGCCATTTGCGTCTTAGTGGTATTATCGCTTTGCTTAGAGTAAATTGGTTTAAAAAATATATTCTCGCACTATAAATGTTTTAAATTGATTAATCTTTCAAAATTTATTCAAGTAATCTTTTAAAATTTATTTAATATCCATAGAAACAATTTATGAAATTTGGTGGAGATATTCACGATGCTGAGGCAGTGACAGGAATTGAGCCTGGAACCATAGTTCGAATCCACACCAAGAAGAGAACCTATCGCACTACAAATCTGGTTTTATGCCTAGGATCTTGGGCTGGCAGCTTCCTTTCGCGACACGTTAATATACGATTCCCTTTCAAGGTAATTCTTTTTAGTCATGATTTATTAATCCTAATCCGATCAAATCTAACAATCTTTTTAAAGATAGTCTTTTACTTTATTTCATTCTTATTGTGTTTCATCTATTTAATCACGGTACCTTCAATGTAGATACGCTCAACTTTAATGTAGGTACCTTCAATTTTAATGTAGGTATATTCACAGATTAGAGAGAAGGTTTAAAACGAATTTTTAACAATGAAAAATCTTTCTTGAAGCTTTTATTTTAATGTAAATTTAATATTTCCAATAAGCAAAATACTTTTTCTGTATTTCAAAACTATTTTAAATTGATTGGAAGGTGTTTACGGAATACATACACACACTACACACACACACACACACACATATATACATATATATATATCCAAATGTAAAAGAACGAAGAGTAAGATTTCATCGTTCAAAACATTAATGTAAAATAAAGCTCAATACAAAAGTAAAGCCATAAATATTTATTTATCATTCCTCTTATTTCTCTTCTCTCTCTCGCTGTTACTAATCACTTAACTTCCTTTCTTTCTCCGCATGTAAATTCTTTTATACCTTTTATGGGAAACTTTCCAATGACGAAAGTGGTAGCTATGCTTTGAGAACTGCATTTCTAGATAAAATATTTCACTCGCATCGTGATGCCCCACCTGATGAAACGTTAAAAAAGATTTTTGAACGTTGAAACAAGATGTACAGTTTTGTAGTTGGCATGTGCATGTTCTAATGTAACACTGCGCTATATATATATATATGTATATATAGCATGAGACCCGGGTTCGAATGTCACCGTGGTCGATTTGTCAGAAAAGAGACTTCCTGGTGTTATCAGACAGGTGGGATCGATCACAGCGTGCAGAAACTTTGGAAAGTTCATGAAAACCACACCACGGATTGACCCAAGCCTTGTGGGTGAAATTGGGTAGACGGAACCCCTAGGGGTCGTCGATAGCTGTGCTAGCACAAAGTCACAAGTCATCGTGGCCGAGGGTTTGAACGTTTTTATTTTATATCTACTCTACTGGCAGCAAACTGCCTGCATACGGACAGAAAATGAATTCAGTAAATATGCAGAAATAGAAAGGGTTTAAGACAAGGATGAGTCTTTTCACCAGATTTATTCAACCTATAAAGTGAAGCGATTATGAAGGAATTAGTAGTGACACCAGGATTCATTATTGGCAGCCACTGCTTCTGACCGAAAGGTCCTAGAATATAAAATAGTCTGAGAGTTATGGTCGAAAGCAAGAAAAATGAAATAAAAAATAAAAGAAATGATCAAAGTAGAAAAATTTCGATCTTCAAGAGAATCAATAAAATATATTTTCTGATAAGCGTGACGTCATTAATGAAATTATGGACTACATTGTTTTCTTTCTTTTAGCCTGTTAAAATCACTGTGTGTTACTTTGAAGAAAAGAACGAAGGCCAGTATTCCATCAGCAGATTTCCGACATTCTCTTTTAAGAGGTCCGTTCCGTATGACATGTATTACGGACTTCCTGCTGATGAATACCCTGGACTTGTAAAGGTAGGTAATTGTTTCCGTTATCTGTGCGTTAGGCTGGTGGGTTTTACATGATTTTTATGCCGTTCTATACTACGGGCAACTACATTGTGTAACTAAGGACAGAAAAAAAAACGGAAGGTGCGGTGAACAGAGATTTCCAGGATTACATTTTCTAGTGAATTTTACACCAATTTTTTTTTTTTTGCAGTAAACAAAGTAATAAGGAAATAAAATAAATAAACCTTATACTAACTTCAATGAAGCCTTGTCGATTACTTGTTTCTTATCGTGACTCCAAGCTTGTTAAATGCAACAGAATGTCTTAGATTCTTTTGTGATCTTTATCCCCCACATTATTTTTGGATAAAATGAAATGTTTGAGTGTCACAAATCTAGAGAGAAAAGTTTTAACTTTAACTTAAAAGCTATGATGTACTTGCTGTGAAACGAACTGAAATTGACTGCCGCTTTCGTCACTGTATGGAGCAACGTCCCTAAGCGGTGACTTATCTCTACCAAAGGGAGCTAAACGCCTTGTGTATCCCTACACCGTTATCAAAATATTGCTTTTTAGTTTTTTGAAAACGATTTATGAATTTAACCACGACTCCTGCAGATTAGGGATTAATAGAGGTAAAGAATGCTAAATTTAAATTTTAAATGTAATTTGAGGATAATGGCAAAGTAACCTTATTGATGTATTTATTTATTCGCAAATAATTATATTAATTCTATGAATATTTACACAATTATTAATTTTTATAAATAACTGTAGTATAAATTATAGGAATATTTATTTTATAAATAATTATAAGTTCTATGAATATTTACTTTATAAATAATTATAATATAAATTTTAAGAATATTTAATCATAAATAAGTGTAATATAAATTCTATGAATATTGTATAATATGAATTCTATGTATATTTATTTTACAAATAATTATAATATGAATTCTATGAATATTTATTTTATAAATAACTGTAATATAAATTATATGAATATTTATTTTATAAATAAATATTATAGGAATTCTATGCATATTCGTTTTATAAATAATTAAAATATAAATTCTACCAATACTTATGTTATAAATAATGTTGATATAAAGTTTATGAATATTTATTTTATAGATAATTGTGATATCAATTCTATGGTTATTTATTTTATGAACAATTATATAAGTTCTATGAATATTTATTTTGTAAATAATGGTAATATAAATATGAATATTTATTTTATATATAAATATTATATAAATTTTATGAATATTTATTTTATAATTAATTATAATATAAATTCAATGAATATTTGTTTTTATAATATGAATTCTATGAATATTTATTTTATAATATGAATTCTGTGAATATTCATTTTATAAATAATTGTAATATAAATTCTATGAATGTTTATTTTACAAATAATTATATGAATTCTATTAATATTTATTTTATAGATAAATTCTATGCTTATAAATATTTGTCTAGCAGAACATTATTTATTAACACAGTCATTAACACACTAGCGAGTTCAATAATTATCTGTTAATATCTACTCTCTCTCTCTCTCTGTCTGTCTGTCTGTCTCTGTATTTCTGTCTCTCTCTCTCTCTCTCTCTCTCTCTCTCTCTCTCTCTCTCTCTCTCTCTCTGTGTGTGTGTGTGTGTGTCTTAGTGACAGTATGTGTAAAAATATAATCTGTTTCAGATTTTTCTCCACTATGGGCCAGAAATTGATCCGAACCGTCGAGATGAAAATCCAGATTTATGGGCCCAAGAAACTGCATGCAACTTTGTCAAGAATTTCTTCCCAGAAATCATTCCAAAACCTGTTGTGATAGAAACTTGTATTTACACTGTAAGTGAAACGAAATTTGGTATTTTCCGGTCGATATTTGTTTCAAATATAACAGAAATATTACTTTCCCATTTGAGAAAAAAAAACTCGTCAATTATTATCTACATTTGACATGACTTTCATCTTAATCTCTCTTGCTTTTTATTGCAACTGCCAGATCGTTCAGTAGCATTTAATGTAATAGCAATCGATTTTCTTACATAATGCATTGTAGATTTTCATTCATTTTTGACTAGTATTTCTTTCATCTTATTTCTCTTGCTTTTTATCGCAACTGCCAGATTGTTAAGTAGTATTAGATGTAATAGTAATCGAATATCTTAGCTGAAGCCTTATCGATTATTATTCATTTTTGACTAGTATTTCTTTCATCTTATTTCTCTTGCTTTTTATCGCAACTGCCAGATTGTTAAGTAGTATTAATCGAATGTCTTAGCTGAAGCCTTCTCGGTTATTTTTCATTTTTGACTGGTATTTCTTTCATTTTATTTCTTTGGCTTTTTATCGCAACTCCCCTATTGGTAAGAAGTGTAATGGCAATCGAGTGTCTTTCATCAAGCATTGTCGATTATTAACAATGTACGTCTAGTATTTTTCATTTTGATTTTACTTGTTTCTTATCGCAACTCCAAGATTGTTAAGTGCAACAGAATTTCTTAGATTCTTTTGTGATCTTTATCCCCCCTTTTTTGGGGGGATTCCTTTTCTTACCCTCCTGTCACTCAATTATGTTACACTATTTTCTTTTTATTTTGTGATTATATATTTCGGTTTGGTTTCGTTTGTTTTGTTTTAAGGCATATCAACCTCAATACCCATAAAAATTTTTATTGCTGGTAATATGTTTTTCCTTCAAAAAATCTATTTCTGGTAATATTTTTTCTTCAAAATCTATCGATGGCAATATTTTTTTCAAAAAATGCATTGGTGGTATTTTTTTTTTCAAAACTGTATAACTGGTAATATATTTTTTCCAAAAAAGTATGGGGGGGGTAATAATTTTTTCTGGTATTAAATTTTATTTTTACATTTTTATGGTCTTTTGACACCAGTTTGGGGTTAACTATTTGCCCATAGCTGGGACCCTAACAGGTGCTACCACTCCGGGTCATGGTGGACCTGAGAACACCAGCAATTAAGACATGGTTCCACGCTCGTCAAAGCCTCCTGATCAGAGGCCTTGCTGTTGGATGTAGTTTATCGTCTTACCCAGGACGCGGATGTAGTTTATCGTCATACTCAGGACGGGATTATTTTATATGATTCAATCTTGCATCAATTGCAAGAAGACTGACCGCATAGTTGTCAGCAAAAGTGGCAGCCGAACATGCAAATTACATATTGGAGATACAGAAATCAAAAAAGTAGAACAATTTAAATACTTATGAAGTGTTTTAACAGAGGACGGTAAGTGCGACATTGAAATCCGAAGGAATAGCGAAAGATAACTTAGAAATATTTCGCGAGAAACAGAAAGAAAAGAATACTGAACAGTTATGTAATATCAGTCCTCCTATATGGCAGCGAATGTAGATGAAGAAGAGACATGATGTAACAGAAATATGTTTCCATGGAAGGTCACTGAAAATATGGACCGAATATGTTAGCAACAACAAAGTTTTAGGGATAATGGAAACAAAATGGACACTTATACCAGAAAGAGACAGGACAGACTGACGGCAAGAGGGACAGAGGAAAACAATGCATAACCTACCTACCTAGCAAGCTTGAGCAAATGGATGACAGAACAAGGGAGAGATAAGTGTTGTAACTCACTCCTAGCGGTTATAATATAACCGAATAATTATCTCGCTTAGACGTCACTAGAAATTTCCCTCGACTGACTTCTAGTGACTCACTTTGAGTTCTTTATTTAAGGTGTCTTGCCTAGTTCATTTGTGTTAGCGAGGATGTCTTATTTACTCCACATACGGATAGGAAATGAATTCCGTAAATATACAAAAATAGAAAGGAATGTAAGACAAGGATGTGTCTTTTCACTGGACTTATTCAACCGAGAACAGTGAGGTGGTTCTGAGAAAATTAGAAGTCCTATCAAGTGACCACAATTTTAACAACATAAGATATACAGAGGACACAATGTTGACAGCAGACGCAAAAATGAAACAACAAGAATTCATACAGAAGGTAGTGAAGGAAAGCAAGAAGAAAGGACTAACCATCAGTTATAAGAAGACAACATGCATGGTTGTTAGCAAAAGGAACAGCCGCCCAACATGCAAATTGCAAATTGGAGATACCAAAATCAAACAAGTATAAAAATTTAAATAGCTGGGAGGGAAAGAGGATGGAAAGTGCAGCACTGAAAACCTAAAATACATTGAGATAGAAAAAGATGCCTTCCAAAAGCTAAGCAAAGTATTAAGAGACAAAGAAAAGAATACTGAATTGTTAGGTAATATCAGTGCTTATATATGGCAGTGAATGCAGATGAAGTAGAGACTTGAAGGAACAGAAATGTGGTTCTACAGAAGGTAGAATACCATGGACCCGACATGTGAGCAACGACGAAGTTTTTAGAGAAAATGGAGACAAAAAGGACATTTATAGTTAACACCAGAAAGAGACAGTTGAAATTTCTAGAACACATAATAAAGAAAGAGGGTTTAGAAAATTTGATACTCACAGGGCAGACTGAATGCAAGAGGGATAGAGGAAAATAACGCATAACCTATCTAGCGAGCTTTTATTCTAATGATCATTACACTCAATGAGAAAAAAATACCCCCTTCCACGAAACCCTGAAATTTTTGCTGGGTGGAGCAGAACCTCTGTTCTCGATGGCAAAGTATATCAGACAATTTCCTCACATATTCCCATGGGTATCTGTGCGTAAATGAATCTAATGAACACGACTGCAATTCGAACTCGGCTCTCTGATTCGATATCCATTACACCGCAACACACATTGACAGAAATTGGATGGGATGTCCAGATTTTGTTGCATGCTGGTGGTATTTTTATTATTTTAAATTTTTATTTAATTTATTTTATACAACGTTTTTTATGTTATTGTTTTATTTTATTTTATTCATAATTTTCATTAGTATTATTATTTTATATTTTATTTTTATTTATTTATAATTATAATGTCCCTACAAGTGCTATTGAGGGGGTGGGGTAAATAAATGCTATGATGAAAAACACTGGAAGTGCTTAATAAAATACCACACGATATTTTATTAATATTATATAAGAGAAAGAACAGATGAAGTTAAGTTCCCCTGTTCGTAACATTTACTTTTAAAAACGTGCTCAATATATTATATAGAGCAATATATTATTATTATTTTTATTAGAAAAGATTGTAACAAAAACACGTTGAAATCGCTACACAATAGCTTTCTTGTATCGGCAACTTTTTGCCTCTTCATGGTAAGTACTTACCATTGCCTGAAGAGGTAGCGATTTCAACATATTTTTGTTATAATCTTTTATAATAAAAAATAATAACATATTAATTATAATTAATAATAATATATATAATATAATATATATAATATATAATATAAATAGTATTATAAATATAAATTATAAATAATATGAATATTATATAACATAAATAATATATAATATATATATATGATATTATAACATAATAATAATAATAATAATAATAATAATAATAATAAGAAGAAGAAGAAGAAGAAGAAGAAGAAGAAGAAAAAGAAGAAGAAGACATAAGATAAAATTCACATTAGAAATGTATCTATGTCTATTTTTCTTTTCATTTCATCCTAAGTAAGGCGATAAATCCACTAAAATTATTTTTTCAATCCTACTTTTTTCTTAGATGACCCCAGATGAGCATTTTGTATTGGACCGACATCCGAAATGGAAAAATATTATTATTGGAGCTGGGTTCTCGGGTAAGAAATTGAAATTATTTAATATTGTTTTTCATCCATGTTTTTATCACAGTATTCATAAAAAAAAAACGGACATCTATGTCAAATAAATAATAAAAAAAGGCACACTTCTTACTTTTGAAAAATTGATGATATGTAAATATATGAAAAAAAATGTTAAAAATATAAAAATATATAAATATATAAAAAAAATTACAAATAAAAATATGAGAAATAAATATGAAATAATGAAATAATTATGAAATATGAAATATTTTACTGATGAAAATATTTTAATATAATAAATTTATATTATAATAATATTATATAATATTATAATATATATATGTAATATTATTTATAATACACATCATATTATATAATATATATAATATAATAATTTTATATACCATTATTTTATTTATGAAATATAAAATATGAAATAAAATATGAAATAAAAATATGAAAAATATGTTAAAAATATGAGAAAATATGTTACTTTTCATTTACAGAATTAGACTTTTAATATAAAAAATTCTATCTGATTTACAAAAATTAATTTTCATTTGTCAAAAACTTATTTCTGAGCGAAAAATGGTACACACACACACACACATATATATATATATATATATTAATTAATGGATATCAAACACTTGAAATCCAAATGTAATAAATTTTTATTTCATGAAAGCTATAACAAATAGCTTTCAATCTCTCAATCCTGCAAATCACATATAACAGCAGAAAAAAATTACTCCCGATTAAAACAACAAATACTGATATCTTATTGAGTAATTTTTTCCGGTTTTATATGCGACTAGCAGGTTTGAAAAACTGAAAGCTATTTTTTTTTTCAGTTACATGATACTTTCTTTTTTTTTTAAGCTAACCTCCCCCACCCCAAGTAAAGCGGGGAGTGCCACAAGCACGCAAGTGGTTACAGAGAGTGAGAGTAATAGGAAGAGTAAAGAGGAGTGTTTGGGAAATGGATAAAGTGAAGGACAGGGATCAAGGTCAAGGCATCAGAAGATGTCGATTGACATTACATTTGAATATTTGAAGATTATAGCTATCAGGGAAGTAAGTAAGAGGAAGGGAGTTCCACTGTTGGGAAGTGCGAGAGAAAAAGCTGTTGGAGTAGAAGAAGCGGTTACATTTAACTGCTTCGACAGTAAAAGGGTGGGACCAACATACCAACCTAGTAGCACGCTTAAATTCATGCAATTTGGGAACCAATGAAAGTAGCTCGTCGGAGTAGTTGCCATGAAAGTACTTGTAGAAAAAGTAGAGGGAAAATTCACCATATATATATATATATATATATATATATACGAACATACATCCATGCTCGTGGTAACTTTGCTGTGTGCGTCCCTGTGCACTATGGTCGAATCATCTAGTGGTTTGCGTTGTGATTGCCGGCGAGAAGAAAGAAAGAGTTTTTATTTTCTGCTGTTCACGCGGAGCCGTGGTGTTTTCTTTTTCTTTTGGGGGTGGGGATAAAATACTACCTTTGTAGGAACAGATGACTCGACGACTGGAATTATCTTCACCAATAAAGGTTTATTAAAACCAAAAAAAACGAAAATATTCCGGTAGAACTACATTATTTATACACGGACGTTAGGTGCTAGAAATTAAAAGAAAAAAGGTGTTGGCACTTGCTTTTCTTCAATTCAGTCGTCCAATGTTAGGAAATTTGTGGAAACGAAATTACTTTTTAGGTGTGCTTAACGTGACGAGCTAATTGCTATAGCTAGCAGCCGAAATAGGGTTAGAACTTAACTGACTCGCTGCGCAGTCTAGCAACTCGTATTTATGGAGGACACTCTCGTGTGACCTGCGTGATCAGAAGTGATGAAAGATATTCAAAGCCAGATAAATTCTTTGGTCTGTCCCCAAAATTACGTATGAATATGGGCAGATTGAAGAATAGATTGATTTAGGTTAGTGAAAAAAAGCAAAATTGCTCTTTTGGAATTTCAGTCTAGCACCTCGTGATATGACTCACTTTCCTGTGAATTCGGGTATCACACTTTCTGACCCATTTACTTGGGATTCTCAGTTTCAAATTCTTTCAGTCCCAAGTAAGAACGTTTAAAATTTATTCTTATTTTCCAAGCCGATTTTCAATTTTCGTTTCTTTCCAAATTTATATATTATATTCACTTTAACATCACCTTCTGTCTTTTCCTTCTCCACTCTCACCTTATACATACTTTTAAAACTACCGCCTCATATCTTAATAAAATTGCTTTCCTAAGACAATTACATTGTCACACACACACATATATTTGATAAGTCAAACAAAATTGGAAAATTGTTTTATAGACTACCTGTTTCACCTTCGTTAGGTAGTCTTCTTCGTATCAGAATGAAAGAAATCTGTCTTATACATACATACTTACATATATAAAAAATCTCAAAGCCGATTTTCAATTTTTGTTTCTTTTATACTAACTTATATACTTTCGTTATTTATACTAACATATCTTCCAGGAATTCTAATAAAAAAACAAAATTAATCATATATTATAAAAAATACAATACAACAAATTTAATTATCCGCAATAACTCCTCCCCACTAACTTATGTAATACGTAAAACCAACATTATATACCAATTCAAATGTTCCTTAGGAGAATGTATCTTCGACAAAAAAAAAAAACAAACAAATATGTATTGGTAAACGGCAAATACACTAAAAAGAATGCTTACACTCCACATGTCTGACTATTCGCCTATTGCGAGACACCTACAACAATATTCCTGTCCGCATTCAAAATTACTAATCGACAACACAACTATCCTACACCATAAAAACAACAAATCTAGATTACAAATACTAGAAGTAAATTATATTAAAAAATTAAAGCCGGCACTGAAGAGAATCAACTGTGAATACTGCAGTAATGTTCTGAAATGCCTGTAAAGGAACAGTTTTTTCATACTTTAATGCGCGTGTGACTGTGACATTATAACATAGTAGAAAAAAAATTACATAATGGATAATTTTTTCATATTTTAATGAACGCTCATCACATTGTCAACCATTTTGTATTTAAAAGCATAATGGAAAAATCACGGTAATGAAAAACAATGCACATCTTTATATAAATACTTATACTAATGAGCAACATGTAGTTTTGTATTAGTTGCACCCCTGAAGATGATCTTGGAAGAAGATCGAAAGTACTTGGGAAATGAAAATAAAAGAAATTTAAACAGCTATAGCACATTTCTCTCATCCTTTAACATCAATGCACGGAAAGTTATTCGTGAGTATGAATGGACTTTATTAAAAATTAGAAAAAATAAAGTCCGTAATTTATTAAATTAAACATCTCTCTCTCTCTCTCTCCTACATATATATATATATATATATATATATATATATATATATATATATATATATATATATATATGTGTGTGTGTGTGTGTGTGTGTGTGTGTGTGAAATGACATTCAGTCCCAAAAGCTACGTACAGAGGGATGGCTGTAGGAATGATATATATATATCATCTCTACGACTTTCAAACGGAACTTTGAATGTTCCTTACTCAAAAGATTTTGTCTTTTGTGTAGGATGAAACAAACTTAAGGGTTTTTAATAAATATTTCGATGTCGCAGGCTCTGATTATAATTTCAAGCGTCGTTTTGTTCCCATGTTTCTATTTCTACACACTTAAAACAAAGAAAAATATTAAAAGTAATGTAAAGTTGAAATTCATACTTTTACTAAAACGGGAGCTTTTTCGAAGCGGGGTTATTGATAATTGGAAATTATATATTAATAAATAACATCTAATTAAACATTATTTTTATAAAAGTAAATATTTCTCGCCTGATTTTGGAACATTACTAATTAGCAACAAAAGATAATTTTAAATCTTTTAAAAAATTGAAAATTATCTCCTGTTTTGGGTTATTTAAATAATTTTGAATAAGCTTAATATTTAATTGTGTATAATATTTTTTAGGGCATGGATTTAAATTAGCTCCGGTTGTCGGTAAGATTCTTGGCGACCTGGCGATGAATGTAAGAAATTCCTATGATTTAACGCCCTTCAAACTCAACAGATTCAGCCGGAAGAGCGCTCTCTGATGGAAACGACACTTGTTTGAAAACGAAACGTAATGTTATCATCAAGTGTAATTGGTCAGAAATTAAAGATGGTGATATTTCACAACTAACAACGACATTTTTTTATTTTGTTCATTTTTCGTAGATTTTTGAAATCAAAATTGAATGTTCTTTTCTTTTCTTTTTTTAAATATTATTTTGAATTATCATAAAAATGTACAAGTGGGTGCTGAAAAGTTTTCGGCTGGACACACTTCCCTAAAATCAAGCTATCTTTATTGGTTCATCAACACTTCCAAGGAACGTCAGTACAGACGCAAAAGAGGACCGGAGTCGCGTGCAGACATGTATGCCAAAAGCCAGTATCATAAATTTCGAAAATGATAGTTTATTTTAATGTATTGTTAAAATCTTTGTCTAACGACTTGTCTCTTCTTTATTGAATTCGTTAAATGATAGTTTAATTCAATAAAAAACAAAATGGCTGACATTTTTATTTAACGTTTATTCTTGCATAAATCCTTCATTTTTATTGGCAAATATTTTTAAGCAAACAAATCGTGAAAAAAAAACAACAACAACAAAAAAAAAGAGAGAAAGTATATTCCTCTTTTATTTTTCCTCAAGGATAACCAATTTTCCAGGATCTCTAGATTTGTTTGTCTTGGCAATTGCCTTTGATTTTTCAAAAGACAGACGATACTTTTAACAAACACCCATCTTCTTAATCCGTAATTGCGGCATCATGCATTTTTTCTTTTCGAATTCACAACTGAAAAAAAAAGAAAAAGACGTAAGATTTGTAAATGTTTTAAAAGATCAAAATGAAATTGGTCGTCGCAAATTTCACTGATGACGATAATCCAATGATGGCATAATAAATACTACATCCGTGGCTGGTCTTTTATTGGCATCGTTATTAACGTCAGCATCTGTAGAGACTAAACAAATGATATAATGTTCGGAGTTGAATAGATGTACTATGCGTGTCATAATAGGTTTGGCACTCAATTTCACACTAGACTAAAGAAGTCAGATGCAGAGTCAGGTAATCTGGAACCTTCGTACTCGCAAAAAAACGGAGTGTCAAAAAGATGGTTTTCCCTTGACACTATTATTTCACTATCATTTCAACTCACTTCACTCTTCTGCAACGTAATAAACGTTTTTAGAAAATTATTTTTTATTACAATTTTAATAAAAACCTAAACATATGAAAGTGAATTTATACATTTTTTTTTGTTCTTGAGAATTCTCGATGATAAAAATAAACACTATTTATTTATTAGATTATTAGGCAGGAAAAACATTGGTTAATTGCCAATCGATTCGAACTTTATAAAATGGTAAATAATAAAGATTTCCTTAGAGTTGGTTTGGATATATTGATAATTTAGTAAATGTTTATAAATTTATGAATAAACAATGATTTTTATATTTATTTCTTTATAAATTGGTAAATGATAAATATTGCATTGCATTAGTTCTAATTGTATTAGTTTTTAGAATATTGTAAATATAAAATTATTCTTGTAAATAAACAGTCTAATAACTAGTATTTAATATTTTTGTTGTAAATTCTGAAGAAAAAATGTATAAATTCACTTCTATCATATGTTTAATTTTTATTATAATTCCAATCATCGTTTTTTTTAAAAACGATAAACATTGACGGCGAGTGAAGGTAGTTAAAATAATAGCGGTGTTAAGGGAAAAACCTGTATTTTTGACAATCCGCTTTTTTACGGTTACGAAGGTCCAAGACTGCCAAGAGTTGACCTAAGATGACCCCCAGACAGTGGTGGGGTTACATGATTCACCTATTGTCAGTGGTAACATCGAGAGGTGAACACCCGTGCAACTGGCTGCGCCTGATTTGTGTTCGCGTGAGAAAAAAACCGTTATATATATAGCAAAGAAATCTTTTTTCTTTTTTTTTTTTACAACACTTTCTGGAGTTATCATTATTTACATTATTTATATTCAGACTAATATCCCCATTTTTGTTGTTAATTTCACCTGGTCACGTTCTGCCTGATTTTTTTTTTTAATCGGCATCACCCCAAGTCATTAGCACGCAAGAGGTCACAGGGTGCGGAGGAATTAGAAATAGAAACATTAGTAATGAGTAGAAAGAGAAAAGAGCAACCAGGAGGATAGTAAATGGAGATTGACATTGCATTTACATTTTTTGCAGATTAAAGTTGGCTGGAAGGCATGGAACCGGAAGGGAATTCCACAAGCGAGAAGTGCGGAAAAAGAAGCTGATAGCATAGAATTTACGGTGACATCTAGCTAGCTCAATTGTAAATTGATGTGATCTGCCGCCAGTCTAGTATTGCGCTTAAATTCATATTTGTCTAGGTACCATAGCGAAAAGTTCGTCAGAACAATTACCATGAAAATATTTAGAAAAAAAAGACACAGGGTGTGAGCAACTGACTGAAGCCGAGCCGCCTGATCAGGACCAATAATATTGCTGATTTTTCTTTCGATCTTATCGAAGAGCTCCAGGAAAATATCAGGGGTACCGGACCATATATAGCAGCAATATTCTAAGCATGGACGGAGGGAAAAATTGTCTCGCTCGACACAGTGAACCGACTTACTAGCATCTGTAGTCTTTCCACCTATTGTTGGCTGAGAACGTTAGCCCGAGAAGGCGCAATGATTCACTTTCTTGGAGGATAGCATCAACCATACTGATGGAAGGCAGTGAGGAGTCTCTCATGAAGAGAAGTTTAGTTTAGGAGGCGTTAAAATTGACAAGCTTTCTTTTCCATCAGTTAACGACAGTCTTGAGGTCGTTTTGTACATCGGCTGCCATAACTGACCTCGTCTAACTGATCAGCCTTAGTAACGAGGCCGGAGTAAACAGTAGTGTCGTCAGCGTAGATGCCAAGTTGAGAGCTGATGTCATCGGGAAGTTCGTTAATGAAGATTAAAACAGCGTAGGACCAAAGATGGAGACCTCGGGGATACCCTCGTCAGTACGTAAGGATGTAGATGAGTAGACGTCCAGGACAACTTTCATTTTACGATTTGATAGGAACGACTGGATCAAGTCAAATACGTGCCAGGTGATACCATAGCTTTTCAGCTTGTGGAAAAGACCTGAATGCCAGACTTTGTCAAAGGCTTTCGAGATGTCTAAGGCTACAGCCCAGGATTCAGTGTTTTAACAAAAAGCATGATAGACACTTTCCGCAAATATCGTTAGTATATCAGTAGTTGACCAGGAGAAACGAAAGCCATATTGCTTGTCTGAGAAAAGGCCCTGTGATCAGAGATGATGAACCAATTCATTTCTGGGATCAGCAGTTGTTATTATTTACATTTAGACTAATGTCCTCCTTCAGTCTAAATTTCTGGGATGAGGAGTTATCATTATTGTCCTCGTCTTTGTTGTTTTTATTACAACGTTTCGGCCGTTGTGCCCTCCGGCCTTCAACAGGTGTTTGTTGATCCGTGTAACCTTCGTACTCAAATCTTTATTTAATCTAATCCCTAGACATCTACGCCGGTAGATTAAATAAACTGTTCAGTTCTGGTTAACTGTCATGCCAGAAAATTCTTTTCGTCTGAATCCATCTTGCACAATCTACCATTTATCTGTGGATTGAATATTGCTGTCATATCTGGTCTAGTTCTCCTGCTGTACATCCCGAGATTCTTGACAAAATCCAAAGAAGGGTCTGTAATGTTATCGATCCTGACCTGGCATCTCGACTTTCTCACCAACGTATCTTTTCTACAGATATTTTCATGGCAATAGTTCTGATGATCTACTCCCCTTAGTGTCTGGACTATGATTTTAAGCGTGCTACTTGATTGGCAATTAGGTCTCACCGTTTTACGATTGAACTAGCTAGATGCAACCGTCAGTTCTATTCTAATAGTTTCTTTTCTGGCACTTCTCGCCTGTGGAACTCCATTCCAATTTCTTCCTTCCCTGCCACAAACAATTTTCAACATCAAACATCATCTTCTGTCTTCCTGAATTCTGATCATTTAATTTTCTTTTCCTCACTTCTCCTTACTAAAGTCTTCTCATTCTCTTTCACTCCCTGTAAACATCAGCGTCCTAGCGGCTTTATCGCTTTGCTTGGGGTGAAATGATTAAAAAAAAAGGTCAAAATTCGACAGTTACACGTATCGACACGTACCTGACGAAGGACGGAGAGCACAACGGTTGAAACACTGTGATAAAAACAGTAAAATGAAGAAAACCTCAATAATGTAAATAAAAAATAAAAATGATAGGCGGTTTCTAAATTCTTTCAAGTCAAAACACATGTGTATATAAACGGATTCTTTGGACTGACATTCACTATTTTTACAGTAATGACTTTGAAAACTAAACCTGAAAAGTACTTACTCATTGTCGTAAGTGACATTGTTCATGGCACAAATTGGGTTCACACCATGACAACGAGCCTTCATTAAAGTTTGACAAAATGGATCCATAGTCACAGGTTGTTGGGTGGTTGTGAACACACAAAATCCTTTGTAGTCTTCGAAAATATTCTTGTTTTTACAGTGGGCTTTCACCAATTCACACCTGTCAAAATATTAAAACGTTTCATGGAATTTAATTTTTAAAAATTGAATTTTTTGTTCAATTCTAATTGTTAGATAAACACTCAGTAAGTAAGATGCTTACAGCCATATCCCGTTGAAATACCGGCTGGCGTACGATTACCTAAGCAACATCGGGCCTGGCCAGTAGCTAGATGGGTGATTGCTTGGGGATACCAGTAATCTTGGATGTGCATGCGGTGTAATTGGCTCGGAATTGTTAATCGGAGAGCCGAGTTTCCATTCCCGTTGAGTTCGTGACACGCAGATACGCTTGAGAAAAGTATAAATCCACCTTTTCTCCTCAAACTATGGGCTAATTAGTAAGACCAGAATCACTAAATAATTATTATCTCCCCCCAAAAATTTTTACAATCTAAAAATATTTTCTGGCTTTAAATAACTTGCAAGGGGTCAATAAACCGTAGAAAAGGAATCAATCA